TAGATATTATTATTCTTCGATTGTTTTTAAAAACTATCAAGTGAATTACTCGATAGTTTTCTTTTGGTAGTTGCATACATCTTACACCGACTAGTTTTTGACTATCGATAGTTTTCATTCGGTAGTAAATAGTAATACACGTCTGGTACCGACTAGTTTTGACTATCGAGTTAAAAAAATAATCGAGTGGATTACTCGATAATTTTTAAAAACAATCGACCGAATTTACTTGATCATTTTCACTTTTTAAATTTTCATTGCGTAAATAGGCCTAAAAATTAATCAAAACAGGTACGATTTAAATGATTTAATCAGATGTCCAATTGTCTTGACGTCTTCCAGGCGAATATACCACCTAAAATATTGGAACGGGGATGTTTTACATGCAAAATCCATATAACTTATTAACTTTGGTAATTCTTTTTGTATAAGTTTTTCATTTATTAGCTTTAATTAATACATTATACAATATAATCATAGGCGAATGGTGGGGTGGTGGGTAGTCTAAGGGGACTATAGCCCCCCTAGAATTTTGTTTAGCCTCCCATTTCGCGGATTTTTTTAGTCAGATTTTTAGAATATATGTTGTGTACCAGAAATATAATAGGCTATAGCCCCCCACCCTATAAATTCATCATCCTTCGCCTATGAATCTAATTAATCTAAGTATTAAAAACTATGAGAATTGTATTATGAGAAGAAAATCATAATAAATTATAGGATATGTTTTTGGTAGGTAACTCTTATTTGGAAAATAGTAAATACTAAAAACTGAGGATTTTAGTATTTTATACGCTATGTATGATTTGTACTAGATTTATCCAAACCAGTTGGATATATTTTACTATTTAGAGTTTAAAAAAAACAATCAAAATAAGTATTTTTATTTTTTATATTTTACTTTAATACTGTATTATCAAAGTTTCAAGGGATTCTTAAGTTACAACTTACAATTATTAAAATAGATATGTGCAGTACTAGGTTTAATGACATTGATACAAGTTAAAAAACTTGTATGCAGGATGGGCCGCAAGCAGTCTGTCATTGTTCACCCCATATTTCATACTCACCACAGCTATAAATATATTAGCTTAAAATTGCAAATTTATATGTCAACTTAAACCTTTTTCGACATATTTTTAAATAAAAATTATAACCAGGGATATACCCTTATATGACCTTCCAGAGGTATTTATTCAATCTTCAAACCAGTTGAATATTATCTGCAAAATAAAAAAAATAATATTTTCAAACTACAACAAAATTTATTATGGTTTTAAATTTCTAAATATAAATTATACTGTATATTTTTACTATATTAAAATAAATAACTACCTTTTTGTATTACCTTGTCACTTACTTGTGCCTAAAATTAAAAAAACTTACATATTTTTGTTTAAAAAAATTAACTTATCCACATTTTGAGGCAATAACCTATTACGCCGAGCGCTTAATATTTGCCCAGCTTTTGAAAAGATTCTCTCGGCCGGCACTGAAGTTGCTGTAATAATGCTGTATTTCAATGCAATGTCACTGAGTGGTGATAATACATTTTTGTGGTCGTCCCAAAATACAGCAACATTGCATTTTAAGTCTTGATGAGGCATACTTAGGTACTGTCTCATCAAGGATGTAGCACTACTCGTTGTTGTTGTCTGCGACTGGACATTGGTGACTCTGGATTTAAGAAAATTCCACCCATTGTCATCATCAGTATTCAGATTTTCTTGATCTTTAGGTTGTTCTGAAATTAAGTAAAATCTGATTATTTATTATTAATTATATGAGTCTTTAGAATTGAATTCTCAACATTTTTAATTATAATTTTTCTACAAAAAGGTTTGATCAAATAACATTAAAGATTAATAATATTTTTGTAAAAAATAATAATTATTTTAAATTATGATAAAATTATGACAAGACACATTTGGTGTGTATTTATAAGTGATTTATTTTTTTAGCTATTATTAAGTTGTATTATCATACTAATGTAAGTTAGTTAACCAACTTTATTTAACTATATTTTATAGATTTAGCAACAATTATTTATTATTTACCTGTGTCTGAAGCATTACTAATTAAAGCAGCTGTTTCATTGACCAAATATCGTTCAGTTTCATTAGCATTTTGTTCTGACCCAAATGCAACCTTCTTGCACCTTGGGTCCAACAATGTAGCCCGAGAAAAATGCGGTGTTATGGTTTGTTTTTCAATACTATCGAAACGCCTATTAGTATTTTCTATTAGTTTATTTTTTATAAACATTCCAAGTGGCGTTTTTGGAGTTTTAGAAACTAATGAACTTTGAAAACCTATAAATAATTAAAAACATTTTATAGTATTTAACAGAAAGCACAAAATTTAAACTGTATACAGAATCATCAAGTTAGCATGAGTTATAACCCAGTAATACCGTGCCATTATCTATGTACAAAATTACAATAACTAATAATTTAAATATCAAATATAATATATGCGATATTATAATTTGTAAGACTTTAAATAAAAGGTAGATTCACATAATAAAAAGTCAACTTCTGTAATATTAACCAATATAATGTGCATAACATTACCTTTAATACTTACTATTACTATTGTTGTTGATAATAAATTGTACTAAAAAAATTTCAATAATAAAACAGCCAACTAATTTCCACATAGACTTTCTATACAGACAAATACTTGCGTTAGTGTTATATTATATATTAATTGCATGGTTAAATTCTCAATCAATTCTTATTTTATAGACATAAAAATAGGGGATTGAGGAAAAGCAATTAGCGATGGAGGCTGGAGTTTTTGATACTGATGGTATACCATTGTGCCCTATAATTGCTGACGGTCAATGGGGAAAACGAAGTTACAAGACCAAGTATGACGCGTTATCCGGAGCTGTAAGAATTGTTTTATCACATAATCGTATAAATAGCGATTTAGTTTAAATTATTATAATATGATTTCTACGTAGGCTACAATTATTGGTTTTCGTTCTAACAAAATCTTATTTGTCGGAATACGAAACCGTTATTGTTGTATATGTGAAAGAGCTCATGCGTTAAAATAACCCACAAAAGACCATAGATGTTTTTTAAATTGGGACAAAGCTGCCACTGGTATGGAAGCTGATGGAATTTCCGAGGGATTTGCCAGAAGCATTGAGTTACAAGGTTTGAAATTTAACAGATTAATTGGTAATTTTATTAAGTATAATCTTAATTTTAAATATAATAAAAATACTTATGACTCAATAATAAATAATAGAAACATAAAACAAAAAATATATATAATTGTCTTAGGAGATGGCGATAGCAGCGTATTATAAAAACTATTAGAGATAGTTCCTTATGGACCACACCAATTGGTACAAAAAATTGAATGTCGCAACCATATATTAAGAAATTATGGTACAAAATTATCTGCATTAACAAAAAATACAAAATACCCACCATATTTAAGAAAGCTAATTACAAAAAAAATTACCAAATGCTGTGTAGCTATTCGAAAGGCAATTCAATTTAGAAAAAATTTAAATACTAACAATATTGCTAAAATAAAGGGTAATTAATCATTTAAATTATTTAAATTAAATAATGAGTAATTTTTTTTATATAAAAGGTAATCAATTAATTTTAATTATTTGTTTTTACAATATATTTTAGGACTTCAACAAGACATTTCTAACAGCCCTTATCATATTTTTGGACAGCATTCACAATGTGATACAGTAGGGTCTCGATAATCCGAACGAGATTGGGGAAAGGGGTCGTTCGGATTACCGATTTGTTCGGATTACCTATGACTTAATAAAAACAATAATTTTATTATAATGTAAGTTATGAAATTTATTTTTATCTGTATTAATCATTGAATAATGTATAATTATAAATGTATACATGCAAATTATATATGTATGTGTATATGAACCTTATTTAAAATATTGATTTATTTTTTTTTGTACACTGGCTCCTATTTGGTGATTAAATGCCTTGTCCCGCAAACGTCTCAGCAACATTACTTCTTCGCAGCTTTCAACGTTTTGTTCAGCCCACTCGATGGCCGTAGTCAACGCTTTTGTGGCTTATGAAGCAGATACTTTTGAAGGAGGCAAAAATTCTTCATCTTCTTCCTTCTCAATATCTTCTTTGGTCACTGCCTGAATGATTTCATCATCAGTTAAAATTTCTTGGTGCTGTATCTCTTCATCGCAGCCCACTGATGCCCACTGTTGAATTTCATCCTCAGAGATGACTGTGTTTGGAGTCAACTTGACTAAAAGTGGGGTGAAGATAATGCTGCCTTCCTGAACTTCAGTAGTTTCGTTCACAGCAACCAGGTGTGGACTAAGGTTTTTCCATGACATTTTTATCAGATTTGACGAGACAGATAACCAACAGTTAGCCAAGTTAAAAACAACATCTTTAAGATTGATTTTTTTCAAAGCTACCACCAAGTCATTTCCGTTTTCTTCGTCCGCCAAAATGTTCGTAAGTAAAGTTTTTCGGTAATTCAATTTTATGTTTTGGATAACATTATGATCCATTGGTTGAATACGAGCAGTTGTATTTGGTGGAAGAAACATCGCAAAAATTTTGCCATCTTCACTACGAAGTTCTTCTACAGATGGGTAACCTGGGCAGTTATCCAATAGCAATACAGCTTCCATAGGAAAATTAATTGAAGAAAGATGACGACGAACGCTAGGAACAAATTCAGTGTTGAACCAATCTAAAAATAAATCTCTTGTAACCCACGCATTTTTCTGCCCTCGGTAGTACACAGGAAGTGTAACCGATTTAAATGCACGAGGCTTGTGAGCTTTTCCTACAACAAGTAAACGAAGTTTATGGTTGCCCGTCGCATTTGCGCAAGGCATAAAAGTGACTCTTTCTTTCATAATTTTTCTACCGGGAGCGGCCTTTTCTGTAGATGACACTAAAGTGTGGTCAGGCAACATTCGCCAAAATAATCCAGATTCGTCAGCATTGTAAATTTGTTCTGCTTTAAATTTTTTTTTGTATGACAAGTTGTACAAATTCTTCTTGGGACGGTTTGATGGAGTCTTCTTTACTCGAAAGTTTTTCACCGGAAATTTTGAGACGCCTTATCCCATGACGCTTTTTAAAGTTGTCTAACCAACCTTTGCACGCATTAAAAGCAGGGTTATTTTTTGAGAATTGGCGGTGAAAAGATCGTGATTTTTCACAAAGAATTTCACCACTCACTGGAAAGTGTAAACGTCTTTGTTGAATAAACCACATGAAAACTGAACTCTCAACATTTGGATTCTCTGGTTGTTTTAACGTTTTACGCTTACCTGCACCGTTTTTCGTTTCACTGACAAACTTCTCTAATTTTTCCTTGTTCTTTTTAATATCACTGATGGTAGATACACCTATACCAAATTGTCTTGAGATGGCACTGTAGCTGGTCCCCTAATTAATTAACTTTATTACTTCTAACTTATCCTGTAATTTTAATGTAACATGCTTACGTGGAGCCATTTCAAGAAAAACACGCAAATAAATGTTCCAAATACGTACGATCTTTATGTACACACAATCGACA